TTGCTGGTCCTGCCCACACTCAGAGGGAGGGGCGGTGGGGCAGGGATTCTGACCCCACAGGTTTGTTTTCAAAGGAAGCTGGGGGACTCTGAGCCCCTTGAGGGTGCTGTCAGGAGGCCTGCCCAGCAAAATGCCCGAGGTCCTGGGCCGTGGGGGACAGAGGTCCCAAAGGCCACCCTGGGACCTCTCAGGCTTTGCTGCCCTCTGACCTCGGGAAAGCCGCCCTCAGAGTCTGGATTTCCAGCCCAAGTTCCCAGAAGAGCATGAGGGACTCACGCACGGCAGGCAAGTCCCCAGACCCACAGGCCTCGCGGTGTCACAGACCCGCTGCCGTCCTGTGGAAGATACACGCCAGGACTCAGATTCAATCATTTATTAGGTCACATAATAAATTCAAGGAATATCTCCGAGGTTTGGAGAACCCGGATTTGGCGTCCTCCGGAGTCTTACGATCCGGCAAAGCCATCCATCAGGCCTGAGCAGAGTCCCATCTGTCAAGTGGGACGGCTCCCTTCAGGGCCCGAAGGCTCTCAGCCTCTGCAAACTCGCTGTCAGGGAATCCGTGTTGTCAGGAAGGCAAAATGTCCTCCGGGGGCCCTGAGTGTGGCCCCCGCTCCCTGCCCCCCACCCCTGCCCCCAGCCTGGGATCATCTGTTGCTTCAGATGCTTAGAAACGTCACCAGGGCTCCCGGGGGACGGGGGGGTCAGCCACAGCCACATGCAGGTCTGGCGTCTGACACGCAGGGTGCAGAGAGAGAGAGGAGTCCTCTCGTTGAACTCTCGGCCAGATGCAGCTGCCCAGGTCACACTCAGGGCAGTCCACGTGGCTCCACGTTCGCCAGGTCCTCTTCTGGGGGGACCTGGCCAGTGGGCGCCCTGGCCAGGATGGTATGAGCGGGGCACCCTCGCCCCTCTCTAGGCCAGGCGGTGGGCTGTGCCCGCCCCAGGAATTGGGGGTTAGATCATAACGCAACAGCTGCGGGCGCCCTCACCCACTCCTCACATCCCGGGGCTGGCGGGAAGGCCTGTCCCCGTGTGGCCCTGCCAGCCAGGCCGAGAAGCCAACCAGGGGGCTGAGGCCAGCTACTGGGGTGTCTGGTGAGACAGGTTCTGAGTGACGGGGGGGCTGGGCCCGAACCCCTCTCCCAGTGGCCCCTGCGTGAGTGTGACAGGCCACCCCCCAAGAAATAATCATGGGGGTCAACGTTACTCACAGGAAAGGGTAAAGCACCGAGGGAACTGTCCCTCTGGGGCTCTGGGAGGGTTCCAACGGGGGGTTCCCGCAGGCACCCCTGGGACTTCTCCCCAGACGGGTTTTAGGGTCTCAGCTGTCCAGCCCTGTGACGGCCCCCAGGTCTTGACACCCCCTGGCGCCTGGGGTCCCGGGTCGGGTGGGGGTGCAGCCGCCTCGAGTTCACATGAGGAGGCTGCCTGAGGCCCCCCGGGGCTGGGAGGAGGGCGAGGAGAGGGGCCCCTCCCCAGCTGGTGTCTGAGCCCAGGCCGTCAGGCGACTTCACAACCATCACTCCAGACTCTCTCCCGCAGTGACAGCGCTGGGACCTTGAGGAGCTCATTGGAATGAAGACTCCTGGGCAGAACCCCAGACCCCTGATCCGGGTGGGGGTGCTCTGGCGTGGGGTGGGGAATTTGTCTGGAGACGCCTCTTGCCCAGGACCCGGGGGCCACCACCAGGAGCCCTGTGCTGGGACTGGGACTTTGCGCTGGACACGCACCAGCAGGTCACCTCCGCCAGTACTGCCTTGATGGCCACCAGGGGGGCCAGGTATGGGGGCAGGCTTCCTCGTGGCTTTGCTCGCGGGGGACGCACCCCCTGGCCCGGCACTTCCCTGCCACGCTGTGACATTTATAAATGTTTCGTGCAGAGAACAAAGAAAACTGTCCCAAATTAAGCAAAACCCCAGAGAGCGCCCACGTGGCCCTGAGAGGCCACCCGGGAGGCGACTGTGTCATACCGTCCACGTGGGACTGGTGTGGCGGCCTGCGTGCTGGCAGCTCTGCAGTTCCTGACGCTACAGACTTTTGCTTTTCTGTTCTTTTTTCTAAAGCACCTTTATAACACTCCCAGAATGAATATTTATAGGGCAGGGATGAGAACATGGGCTAATTGTGGCTGAGGTCCTGGTGGGTCCACCCTCCTTGGCTCCCTAGGAGGTGACGCCGCCCCCGTGTCCCAGGGCTCCTGGCGGAGGGAAGCAGGGCCCAGGGAGGAGCCTTTGCCAAGCGGATTGCACCGTGGTGCCAAGGATCAAGGAGAATCAGGGTGCTGAGGTGTTCTCAGGAGCCGGCCCTTTGGGGAGGCCGTGGGGGCCCGGTGTGCCTGTGCAAGGCAAAGGCCAGGGCTCTGGGCCCCCCAGGACCCGCGGGCAACCACCAGGACAGCCCCAGACCCCAAGGGCAGCCTCAGGGGGGAGATGTCCTCTGAGCCCCAGGGAGGGGTGCAGGCAGGGAGCAGGTGCCCCTCAGCCATCTCCCTGGCATTGCTCTTAGCCCGGGGGAGGGCTGACCTGCATGGAGCATCTAGGCGTTGGCCCCGAGGAGCGGGCTTTACCAAGGGCATGCTCTGCACACCCTCTCCAGAGCCTGCGCACAGGTAAAGGGACGCTGGCTCACCTGGGTGGAGATCCTGTCCCCACTTCCAACAATATCCAGGGGAAACGTTTTGGGGGCTGAATGGCTTTGCAGGTCAGTGGTCTAGATGCCTGCGTTTCTGTCAATTCCTCGCACCCGCCCTCTGTCACACGGAGGGCGGGGCGCTCTGCTTGGCTCAGAACGAAGAGGGAGGTGTGAACTGTAGGAAGAAGGGCTTCCTGCCAGAGAGCCAGACGGACAGCTTCCGCCCAGCCAACTCTGCTTCCACACCTGGCCCCTCGGGGCCCCCTGCTCTGCCCTTCCAGATGCCTGGGTGGGGGCAGGGGCTGGAAACTGAGTGGACTCTGCTGGCAAACGCAGGATGACGGCAGACGCCGTTGTCTGAAGCCCTCCATCTCCTCCCAGCGCAGCTGCGGCCGCGAGACCAGCCCTCCCACCGGCGCCGCCTCCTGGGTCCCCTGGACCCTGAAGCCATGTCCTTCTCGCTCTGAGTCGCCCCCAGACTCCCGGGAGAACGGATCAGGCCCCTGCCGGGCACCCCCAGCCCTGAAGTGACTGGGACAAGCGACGATGACTGTGATGAGGCGGGAGCCCTCAGAACCGGCAGGCAGCCCACCGGACGGGGCCACCAGCTCCCCAGACCCCTGGCTCTGCTGGGCGTCAGGACCTGCCTGTCTCACAGCTTGTCCTGCATCACTGCAGGAGCCAGGAAAGCTTTCTGCTGTGATGAGTTTCTGCATGTCAGGCAGGATTTCTTAAAATGCAGCCAGAAGCGGCCCTGAACCTCCCTACCCCTGCCTGTCTCCAGCTCTTCATACTCAGGTGCTTCCTTCTCCCTGGAAATGGGAATCTGTCTCTCAACCCAGAAAAATACTTCCCCAAGGGCCACTGGACCCAGAGGGTGAGGGGCCAGACCCCTCCTCGCCTTCCTGCCTCTTGCTTCCTGTAGGACCAGCCGTGGGCGAGGCAGAGGCACAGGCCTTGTCCTAGGGGCGATGCCGAGGGCAGTGGGGTGCTGAGGGCCCCTCCGCGGGTGCGTCTGCGGGGAAGGGGCCGGGGCACAGGGGTGGGCTTGGAGCAGCCCAGCTGGCTCCGTCTTCCCCGATTTCTCCTGGCAGTTCGTTTTCTTCTGAGGGGAGTCTGTGTGAGTCTCCCACAGGGGCGAGGCTTCTGCAGGTGGAGAAGCTCCCGCTACCCTGGCGCACACTGAGACAGGGGGCCGGGAGGAGACGGAGGCGGGGAAGAGGCTGGCCAGTCTCCGCCCTCAGCCCGGGCGAGCCCGTGGGCTTGGGGCTCGGCCTGGAGCCCCAGCACCCCGCTCCAGTGCCCCCTTCCCTCCAGGGCCCTCCTCTACTTCCCCCAGGAGCTCTGGGTTGGTGGGGGCTCATCTTGAGGCCGCTCTGCTGGCCCAAAACTGCACTGATCCTCACGGGGGCCCTAAGTGGTGCCACGTGGCCAAGCCCTTAAAGCACCCCGAGTCTCCATGACGGTACAGCTGCCCCCCTGAGTCTCCATGGCGGTACAGCTGCCCCCATTCTGGGTGGGGTGTCTCCGGAAACAAACTGCTCTCTGCTGACATCACGGCAATGAAATGTAACTTTCTTTACGAGCTGTCAGGGAGGTTTCCCCATGGCCATCGCGCTAATGTGTGCACATTTGTTTTGCTGCGTGTGTGCGCGCACATGGGCGGGTGAGCGTGTGCCTGTGTGCACATGTGCATTTGGGGGTGTGGGCACTGAGATCTGGCAGCAGGCGACCTTCCAGGCACAGCATAGCAGGGAAGTCATAGTCCTCCTGCCTTGTTCCATGGGCATGCCACCCTGGGCTCGGCTCCGCGGGCACCCACCGTGCCTCACCTCCTCTGAGCTCCCCCAGGTGTCACGTGTCTGCGTGTGCTGGGGTGGCGAGGGTGTCTGGTGAGCAGGGGTGGTCAGCTGAGCCTGGGCTGCTGGGGACTCGAAATGCACACTGCCACTGGCCTCGGAAAGGCTATGAGAAGCCCTGCAGGCCGATGTGCACGCCCCCTGCTGAGGGCAGACCCCCCCCCCCCAAGAGGATGTTGCCTTCGGAGCCTCTGGGTTTGTGGTCCTGCCATCCAGGCAGAAGAGAAGCTGCATTCAGAGAAGGTGATGCACTCACAGGTTTTGGGGATCAGGATGTGGACCTCTTTGTGGGGCATTATCCTGTCCACCCCACAGGGAATATTCCAGCAGCAGACGGGGCTTGGCAGGGTGGTATCTCTTACAGCCCCCCAAAAATCTATGGCTGTGGTCCTTAGATGGCTGTCCTTAGCCAAGAGGGGCAGCAGCCACCTCCACCTCCCTGGCCAATCTCCCTCCCTCCTGCCCTCATCTGTGGGGGAGCCAGGTGTCGGGGTATTGGGAGAGGTGAAGCTGGGGTCCCCCCCATTCAGGTCCCAGGAGAGCAGGAGCCTGGCCTTCACAGTCAGGTGCCTGTGCTGCAGTCCAGGTGGCCCTGTGTCCAGGCCACAAGGGTCAATGGGGAGAGGGCGTGGGGCTGGACCCTGAGCTCCACTTCTGTTTTCTTGTTGTTTTTTAATTGAGGTGAAATTCTCATAACATAAAATTCATTGTTTTAAAGTGAACAGTTCAGCTGCATTTAGCACAGTCACAGTGTTGAGCAAGCACCACCTCCCTCTGGTTCCAGAGCGTTCCTCCCCCGGAGGAGGCCTGCTTTCCACCAAGTGGCCTGCCTCCCCCTCCCCCAGGCCCCGACAAACCCCGTCTGCTCTGTGTCTGTGGACTCCAGGCCTGACCCCGCACTCCGCACTGGGCCTTCCAGGTCCGCCCGCACCACAGCCGGCGAGGCGCCGGCCTGGGCCCCGCGGGCTGCTGTGAGCGCGCACGGGGTCTCTGTTTGGGTCCTTGTCTCACTCTGGGGCACGGAGTGCGGGGTGGAATTGCTGCGTGCGCCGTTTCCCCTTCTGAGGAGCTGCCGGCCGTTCTCCACAGCGGCTGCACAATTTCCCGTTCTCAGCAGCAACTTGTGAGGTTCAGATTTCGCCACATCCTCGCCAACACTTGTCATTTTCCAGTTTGGGGCTTTTGTGTCTTACAGCCGTCCCGGGGTGTCGGGGCGGTGCCCCCGCGGCCATTTCCCTGGTGACGGGTGGCGGTGAGCGTCTTCCGTGGCCCCCGGAGAGATGCCCCCAGGTGCTCCGCACCTGCTCCGTAGGGTAGCCTGGGCGCATCGGAACAGAGAGGCCGCTGCCGGGAGGGTGTCACCTGTTGTCTGAAACTACAAGTGAAATTTAAAAATAAAGCATAGGTTTCATTTTATTTTGCTTAAAGATTCTTGGAAGAGCAGTCTTGTCGGAGGGGACGGCCGCTGACTGACTGGGGAATAACGCTCCAAATGGCTCTGGACGCCTCGTGGTGGGGGTGTGCCCAGGCAGGGGTGAGGGGCTTCCTCCTTCTGACCGGGCCTGGCCCTCCAAGGGCACTGGCCCTGCCTTACTACCATCCTCTACCAATAAGACCCCAGCCTCATTCCCCCCACCTCCAAAGCTGAACACACACTGACAGGGGTCCAGCCGCACTCCGCCAGCCCCACCACGTGCTCCCCACCGCCACAGCTGCCCAGTGGTGGAGGGACAGATGGAGCCATTGATTGAGTAGTTCATTCATTCATTCATCCATCTACTCATTAGATCCTCTGGCGTGTGAGACAGTGATCCTGTCTCGGGGCCCTCCTGGTCTGAGGCCTCGATCAGGGGCCCTGTCCACACCTCGGCCTCCTCTCCACCCAGAGGTCAGAGGGGCTGTCACTGCCCCTGCAGCACTCAGGCCCCTGAGGGCCTCGGTGAGGCTGGAGCCTGGCTCTGCTGGGGCCCCGCGGGCACTGCCTGCACCCCTCCCTCTTCCCAGGCTGGTAGATGTGCTGGATGCCCGTGAGGCCTGCCTGCCCAGCCCCCGCCCCCACCCTGTGCCCCCAGGGACGGAGCTTCAGGAAATGCTCTCAGGCAGAAGCCACTGCTCCTGGGGGCCCTCCCGGCTCCATTACTGTCCTCCTTGCTTCCAGGAAATCACTGCTCTCCAGCAACGCTCCCCCTCCCCTCGGCTCAGGGGGTGAGGGGTCCTGTGACCCAGAAATGCACCTGCCTCAGGTTATCCAAATTCTGGAGGCTTCCCACCAGGAGCTGCTCCCCAGGCCGATCCCCAGGGACCCCCTCTGAGATTTGCAGCAGGTTCTGAGTAGGGAGACCCCTCAGTAGCCGGGCAGCTTCCTCCTGCTCCATAGAGGGCAGGCCAGTTTCCAAGCCATCGGGCAGAGCCTCTCCCCCCAGGCAAAGGTCCCACCTGCCCTTTCCCCCTCCTCCTCCAACCCCTTCATAGGAGAGGCACCCTGTTCCCCTGGGGGACCACGCACCAGAACCCCCTCTTTCTCTGTGAACACCTCTGCTTGGTCAGCGGATCTCGTGCGCGAACTCTCAAGGGCTGGCCAGAGCCTCAGTGCCTCCCTCCACCACATCTGGGCCTCACTGGACTGGCATCGGCCCTGGTGGCCCCGGTACTCTGGCCAGCCAGCTCCCCGGACCCCCTCGCCCCTGCAGCATCTGCACCTGAGCAGCCTCAGCCCAGTCGGCCCCGGCCCTGGCCGTGGGCGAGTCCACCCTCACTGCTGCCCTGCCCTCCCGCCCCCTTGCTGTCCCAGCACAGCCAGATGCTCCTGCCCCGGCCTGTGTGCCCCCGGTGCCCTCTGCCTGGGTGTTCCTCCCTAGACATTTGCCCACTGCACTCTGACATCCCTTGGGCCCCCGTCCACCTCCCATAGAGGCCTCCCTTGACCTCTGACCTACAAGCCCACGCCTTCCCCTGACTGCGCCCTCCCTGCTCCCCACTGCGGGCGTCTGGACCTCCGTGACACTCGCCGTCCTCTGTCTCCCACTGCCCAGCACAGTAGGAGTCGCTCACAGGTGGCGACAGAAACTAACAAAATCACATCAAATTGAACATTTGAGTCAGCACCTACGCCAGCCCCAGCTCGGGATCTCAGCAGCCTGGGGCGGCGCCGTGGCCCTGGGGGTGAGTGCAACACATCTGGCCACGGCGGAACCTTCCACTGGGCACGCGCGGCTGGCCCCACGTGGCCGCGAGCAGGAGTGAGCAAGGAGGCAGGCTGGCTCTCCGGCTGCTGCTTCATCCACCCTCGCTTGGGAAACGCCATCGTGCCACCCGCCACACTCCTGAGGAGCTGGGGGACAGGCCCAGGGGGGCCATGGCTGCCGTCCACGCTTCTACAACACTCAGCGTCCAAGACAGCTGACACTGGGTCCATCTTTACTGCATCCACGAGGGGGCCTGGGAGGCAGCTGGGCGGGAGCAGCGGCTGGACTGCCCCGACATGATGCTGCCTAGCTCTGCCCTCAGCTGTGTGACCTCAGCCCAGTCAGCTCCCCCTCTGAGCCCCGCTCCTCCCCAGTACAGTGAGGACAGCAGGGTACCCACCTCTCAGGGGTGCTTTGAAGATCAAGAGATAATCCACAGAAAAGCTCCTGGAGTCCCCTCGATGCCGGTGGTGTGGGTGAATGAACGCACGTCCTGTCATCTGGCTTTGTCCTGGGGATCTCGGGGACCGCTGGGACCAGCCACCCACACCAGCCCTTCTCCTGGGAAGAGGGCCCTGTACCCCACCAGGGTCTGTGAGGGCTGCGCTGCCCCCGTGAGAGAGGGTGATTCTGGGGCTGATTTACGGCTGAGCCCACGCTGCACCCCTCCCCCACTGCCAGGAGCATCACTTACAGGGTGGGCTGGCCCCGACCTCAGGCCCAGCCAAGGGTCCTTGGCTGCCCTGACCCTCCCTCCCTGCCCAACCTTTGTGGGTCCTCCCTCCTGAGCCCACCTGCTGCCCGGAGAGAGAGGCAGGGAGGAGAGGATGTGGGGCAGGCGGAGAACGAGGCGGTGGGGGGCGGTTGTGGTGAGCACGTGCAGGGCTGCCCCTCATACTGGCTGCCCTCCCACTGTCAGCAGGAGGCTAAGTGGCTTTTGGTTTCCCAGAAATGCATTTGAACAAGGGCAGCTTGAAACCTCCCAGGGTTCCTGCTTCTCTCGGGGTGAACCAAGGACCCCTTGGCTGGGCCTGTGGTTCTGGGAGCAAAGTCTGCCCGTCTGGGCCTCCCAGCCACTTACAGCTTCCCAAGGGTGCTGGCCCACCGGGCTCCGGCCTGGCCCCACCTCCCCCAGCCCACTACCATCCCCCGGCCCACTCTTGCCCCAGGGCCCCTCCACTGCCCTGCCCCTCCTCCGGGCCTTAAAGGACAAGGCTGGGATGTGCGGCCCTCCCTTCTCTGCCCTGTGCTGCTGTAGGGAAGGGCTAGGTCCAGAGGGTGAGCCACAAAGCATCCCCACCACACCCAGGTCCCCAGGCTGGGACCCTGTGCTCCAGGGCCTGGCCCGGCATGTCCTGGGGGGTCAGGCACAGGGGAACCTCCTCCGAAAGGCACAGACACCCCCCACCGAACAGGTCCCTGGCTGGGCCAGGCCTGCAGTGTTTGGGAAATGAAGGGTGTGGAATGGCCTTCCGGAGCAATAGGCCTCTCCAGGGCAAAACTCCAGGATCAGGGATGCCAACTGCTCCCCGCCTCTCCCCGTGTAAACTCTGCACCTGGATTTCGGGGAAATGGGTCCATCCTGTCATTACAGTCCCCCATCCTGGTCCTGGGGGGCCCCAGAGAGGCAAAGAGACCTGCCCACACATTAGGGGGGACGATTGCTCTCTGCGTCCTGGCCTTGCAAGGATGGTTCCCGCAGGCTACGCTCGGCACGCAACCATCACATCATGCCGGCGTGAGCCCGGGGTGGGGGTGCCCGAGCTCAACCAGTGCGTGGACTCGGGGTGTCCCACGCACATGCAGCCCCAGCTGCAGGCCTGGGTGGGGGCAGCAAGCACTCTGTCCAAGGTGACCTGTCCTTATTACCTGGGGGGCCTGGGGCCTCTGGAAACCCAGCGGCTCCCTCACCACCTGATTTGGGCCCCAAGTCTGGGCAAAGGGACAAAGCCCAGGAGGCACTGGTGGCATCCAGCCGGCTGGAGGCCCAGGATATGGGGGGGCCGCTTGGGTCCCCCTGGAGCACCCCTAGGAACAGTCTGCCTGGCCAGAGAGGTTGCTGCCTGGCTGTGCGAGGCGCCTCTGTACTGGGCTGGACTAAAAATAGCAGGGGGACGGCAGGGCAGGGACAGCCGGTGGGAGGCCCGTGGGGAGGGGCCGGGAGGGGCAGCGGACGGACGGCAGCCGGGGCCCAGGACCGGCCGTCAATGGCGCTGGCGCACCCACCCTGTTCCCGGTGGCCGGCC